CTTTTTTTATTATAGGCTTTCGTAAAAATTAACTTTAAAGAATCGAAAAAATAGGTTTAAAATGACATTTTGCACAAAGTTTTTTAACATATTGAAAATTAAAAGCAATTATAATTTGAAAAAACGATTTTTTTTAAGTGCATAATTAGATCTTCATATAATAAAGGAGATACCTTATTATGTCTGTTCCTTAGGTTGGATGCTTGGTTAAGACTTCTATTAGGTAAAAAGGACAAATATAAAATTACTTCATAGGTTAATACATAACTAAAAGAAGAAATATTATTATTTAATTTATTTTTATTACATATTTATTTTATGTGTCGTTTACATAAGTTGTACATGATGAAAGAATCTCAGTATCTTTCTATGTCATTAGGAAAAATAAAAAGTACTTTTTAATTTCTCGAAACAGTCGGGTAAGAATCTTTTAAAATCTCTATATAATCTTTTGACAAAAATGAACTGTATTCTCTGGTAATTAACCCAAAAATGATTTTCCATTTTTTCTTTATATCATCTAGTTGATTTGGTATAGTTTCAAATTCGTATGAGGTGACATTGTTTTCGTGAAGTTTAGGAAACCCATGAACTGCTTTTGTAAACACATCTTGTGGTAATCGGACTGTATTTTCAAAAAATATTGTGAATAATTCTAAGTATTTATCCCTCAAGAATTTAATAATTTCCTTACATATTTTTTGTTCATTAGGTCTAATTATAGCAAAATCAATACGTAGGTCATAAAGTATGTTATTGAAGTATTATTAATTATAATAAGCATAACAAATTATTAATTTCATAAATAATAATTTAATGTGCTTATGAAGAAGACAAGTAAATGATAATTTTCTTAGTTCTAAAAAAGTATTAGGTATGATATTTTTCACTAACAAATGTCACATGGAAATTAAATAAAAAGCATCTTAACTATAATATTAAATTAAATTTTACTTAATAAGCTTTTCAAATTACTTCGCCAATTAAAATAATACTTCCAAAAACATCAAACAAAAAATCAATCGCAAGAATTAAAACAAAATAATATGTTTTATAAAACATTTCTCAAGAATATTAAGANAAACAAAAAATCAATCGCAAGAATTAAAACAAAATAATATGTTTTATAAAACATTTCTCAAGAATATTAAGATTTAAAATGTATAAATTATACATAAAATAACTCAACAACTAATATTATAAAATATATTGTAATAATTTCCTATTAAATGCATGCATATTTTTACGTATTTAAGTAAATAAAATATTAAAAATAAACGAAAATTATTTAAACTATAATATATTAACATATTTTTCATATTATCGATGACAAAAATATATTATTTTTGCTT